GACGCAGCTTGCAGTGGTTCTCATGTTGTAGCCCCTGTCATCGTGCTAGCACTTGCCGTACTGTATAAGATTTTACAGCTGGTATTTTTATGATTGTTGTGTGACATTTATTTCAATAATTTAATATAACTAGATTATAACTTTTAAAAAAAACATTCATAACATTATAATTGCAATAAATAATTATTAACTACAATATGTAATATTAATATTTTTATTATTGAAATTTACACAAAGCTTTTAGCTCTTTCTGAATGTTAAGCATTGTCAAATGTCCTAAAATATACTGTTAACATAACACATTTGCCCTCATTGGCCTCCTTCATTAGTTCTAGTAGACATTCATCAACTTAAACTCCGCCCTCGTTGGTATTGTTTCCTTCATTAGTTCAAGTAGACATTCATCAACTTAAACTCCGCCCTCGTTGGTAATGTTTGTACCTCCCATTTATTCCAGCCTTAGCATCTGAAACATGAAACAAATGTCTGCATGAATTATGGTTTTAAAATAGTTCTTCATACAGACTACTCGATACATTCTTCAATGTTAAAACAGACCGAATATATAACGAGGACGGTGATGGTAGTTTCATACAAGAAGGGTTTCTTTCAACATCTGTGCGGGGAAAGGGGGGGGGTTAAGTTTTCAGTTTCATGGCAGCAATTATATATTAATTATATTCATCGTAACAAACAAGTGCAGACTTTCATCCCGTGTACAGTCAAGGGACGATAACATAGCGGACACCTTTGAAGACAAACGTAGCTACCACATTGATAGTCGGCTTTAGAGGAAACTGTCTTCCACTGACGAATATCTTTGTTGTGAGTAATGACGCTGCGTCAGTTAACTGAAACAGCACGTGGTCATAGAAACGCCTTCTATTGTGTGAGTTGATGTAGTGTGTGAGGTTAACTATATTTATGTTGTAATTGTACCAGGGAGCGTTTGATTCACTTAAGAACCTGTATCTTGTCCAGTATAAACGGACACTGGTTCCAATTTAAGAAAATTAACAGTTTGTTTTTATTTACACAAAAACATCAATCTGTATTCAGCGCGAATGACTCCCCTATTGCAGATTCTTTTTGTCTGCTACAACTCAATAATCTCTTATATTCCTCGACACCATCGTACTACAACCTATTCAACTGTGGCTCGATTCCAGACTTCAGCTATTATCTAACAGCTCGACCGTCTCTTCGTGCTGCTAAACTATCCAACCGACTCTCACCCCCTTGACTAAAACTCTAACGTTACCTCCTGCTCGCTGCCTGTGACTGACCTACACCAAAGTCTAACGTTAACTCCTGCTCACTGCATGTAAATGACCTACACAAAAGTCTAACGTTAACTCCTGCTCACTGCCTGTGACTGACCTACACAAAAGTCTAACGTTTTCGACACGTTCCAGACACTTTCCCTCTCTCCGAACTAAAGTCTGTGGACGACTGTGGCAGACAAGACATCAGCACCCCTCCCCACACCATTTGGTTAATGCAAGCTTTCATGAATTCTCTTTTTAAATACCTATTCTTTTATTAAAGAAAGCACTTGTTTTATTCTTTATTTCATTTCAGCGCATTTAAAAGTTTTAAAATTATTTTATGTAACTAAAAAAGGGAAATAAGCTCGCAATATATTTCTGTATTTATTCACAAGTAGCTTCCCTTTTTAAAATCTATAATATAAGGCTGATGGTAATGTGTCAGTCATTCTGTCATTCCGTCATTATTATAGATTTTAGATCCACATAAGTAAACACCACATGTTGTGCTTTTTACTTGCACCGCAGTGTTTTAATATAAAATAATATAGTATAGTTGGGTTTGTTTATATAACCACTAAAATTGTGTGTATAGTTGGCACTGTATTTACTCTTTCGCATAACGTGAATGAAATATTCAATAAACGCACATTGCTAAAATATAAACGAATCAATGTCAAATAATACTTTCGTTTAGATTACTGGAAAAATTGGATACATTTTAATAAGAGTAAGGTAAAAAAAACTAATTAATTAAAATCTTTTATAATTTTGCCAGGGGAGGTAATTTAAACAGAAATTCAACTCACTAATTAAAAATATGTGAATGCAAATTCTGCGGACGTGCAAGAAGGCAATATTGTTAGAATATTATAATTAGCATGGATTAATAAAATGCACCGTGGTAAGTAAAACACGGATATTTTTAATATTGCCTTTTGTTTATTTTATGGATAAGTTGGGGTATTATAGTCATTTACTAATTTGAATTAGGCGGTTCCGCCTGCGCCCCCGGCCGGGTGCGATTTAACGCCCCGGGCTAGACTGTGAGCACTATGTGTTTATATTTGCAATTAAGTTATGTAGTATTCTGAAACGGAGAAACTGAGAAATAATATATATAAATATATATATATATATATATATATATATAGAATTCGGCTGCTATTTAACGTTAAAATCAAAATCAAAACCAACTCATTTTATTGACATAAGCGATCGCTGGTCCGGAGGGTGTTATTTTAGGGAGCGTCGGCTATAAGCAATGCTTGAGTGTGAGGCTATGACATCTCGTATTTATTATTATAATTACGTGTGTGCACGTGTTAGATATTTTGAAAGAAATTGAATCTTGTGATGCAGACATTGAAACTTTAGTTTTTATGTTGAAAACCAACAATTCAGGAGTAAATTTGGGGGCCCCTAAAAATTGAGGGCCCCTGACTGTAGTCCCCTCAGCCCCCCTCCCCCTCCCCTTAATCCGCTACTGAAACGGATCAATGTGCAACAAATATGATGCGAGAAGAATTATTTGCAGACACACTCCCCCCCCCCCCATTTACTTCCCTCCTTACTGAATTTTTAAAATATATTATTTTTTATAGAAATGTGTACTTCAACCAGTGTCCGCCGTCCGCCCCCGAGAAAAATGTCTGAAAGAAACACTGGCATTTAAGTTGAATCTAGTTTGTTTTAACAAAGTCCCTGTTACGTTGAATCTAATTCGCTTGAACGTTGAATATCGATCTTCTTTAAGCTAGGTATTCGATTCGTTTAACCCCCCCCCCCCCCCCCCATTATGGATACAATATAATTCACAAAATGTCCGTCAGGATTTGAATATTTATTTTAAAGTTTGAGACTTTTAATGATTATTCACTTAAAATCGACTAAAAGGGAGGCTTAATTAATTGAATTAAATTTTAAATAAAACTACAAAATCTTTTCTCACCACGTGACAAATCACGTGATCTACATAAACACACAGCGTAGCCCCCCCCCCCCCCCCCCCCCTTGACGGGGCATTTCTTTTACCACTATTGGGAAAAAAAACAGGCTGTATATAAAACCTTATAATAAACTACCTCCGTCTTTTCACCTTGATAGACAGATACACTCGGCTGGCCTAATGCATTCAATAAACGACCACAACACATGCGGCATAACACTGTGAACTAGGTCAGGGTCAGGCGTCGCTTTTGTTTCCTAGAAAGTAAAACTGAAACAGCTTGAAATTTTGCTAATCGCAGTATATTGTACCCAAATAAACTATGGCTAATCGCAGAATATTGTACCCAGAAAAACTGGCTAATCGCAGACTATTGTACCCAGAAAAACTGGCTAATCGCAGTCTATTATGCCCAGATAAACTGGCTAATCGCAGTCTATTATGCCCAGATAAACTGGCTAATCGCGTCTAATATACCCAGACAAACTGGGCAAATCGTACTAGACGTAGCTAATCTAAATTCTCAATAGGTTTCACCTCAGTCTTTTTGGGGACGCGAGCTTATAGAATTTCTCAAAGAATGTAGCCCCTCCCACCCCACGCTACCAAATTCTAGTCCAAGGTCTCGAGTTAGGATCTCGGTATGGACTTGAAACAGGAGAAGGTTCCTGGTTAACCCAGCCGACTTACGTTAGGGACAATAAGGACGGTTGGGTATAGTTCTGATCACACCACCCCATCATATGCTGAGATCAAGAAACCTTACGTTAGGGACAATAAGGACGGTTGGGTATAGTTCTGATCACACCACCCCATCATATGCTGAGATCAAGAAACCTTAGAACTCTACTTCGTCTGCTTTATAAATCATAATGTCTGAAAGATGAACTTTATTTTTATTAAATATGTATAATTTTTTTAAAAAAATCAATTTTAGAAGGCAGTAAATTTAAGAGTGGCAATGTAAAGCAATCTGATTAAGATGTGTGCCGAAGGTGAACAAAATCAGTTCAAGTGTTTTGATCTCTATTCGTCTAGCTGAGAGGCACTGGAACATCATATGCTGGTGCATAGATTTGACAGGGCAGCTTTTAGCTCTTTTATCGAACACTGTGTACAATCACCGATTGGGTGGGATACATCGATAATTGATCCACTCGCTGACAGAGTTTCTTCCAGGCATCTCTGCGGGGGGGGGGGATTTTACCCCCCCCCCCCGAATTAAATGAAATTTATATAATATATATAGAAAATATATACTTTTAACAGTGTCCGCCCCCCCCCCCCCCCCCCCTGAAGAAAGTCTACCGCCCCCCCCCCCCCCGAAAATTTCAAGTGCCCCCCCCCCCCCCCCGGAGAAAAACGTCTGGAAGAAACACTGCTCGCTGATCAGAACAGCGTATTGTCTAATCAATCGAGCACTGCTATATACAGACGACGTGGATAGGTGTGTGTGTGTGGGGGGGGGGGGGGCTTTGCTACAGTTGGTAGATCGATTTAGCTGAAACAAATCTCATAATCAATAAACAGGCCATTTTTTTAGCGTGACTGCTAAATGAGAAGACACATCTAACCTTTGCACTTGAATGTGTCACGTGACAACAAGTTTACCTGTCTCCGAGGCCAAGCTGTGGCTCCAGCCTAACACAAGAATTCCACACGGTGTTGATTTCCACAAAGACCACATTGCCTTTTTTTTTAAACCTAACCAGGTGTGACAAAGCGCGCACACACACACACACACACACACACACACACACACACACACACACACACACGGCACCCTGGAGTTGAATGTAGGTCACCGAAGTAACCAATGGCCAGCCAGGATCAAACTGAAACTTGTGATTCCACGAAAGTCCCCAATGTGATAAGGGTGGTCGAGTTATTGATACACTGAGACAGTACCGCGCGGCGCTAAAGGTAAATGCATTTTTTTTTTCATATTTAAGGCTCTAAACACTACTGTTTGTGAAACTTTTAAAAACATGTTGTCATTAAATAGTCAACTTGGTGCGTTTGTAAGAAAGAAGAAAGGGAATACAACACCGGCATGTGGCCTAGCAAACGGATACTGCGGTAGTTTGTGGTCAGATTTTAAGTATTATGTAAGACTTTCTAACATGTACTTGTAGTCAAGTATGTTAGGGTTAGGGTGAGTGTTTGCATCAAATCCAAACCTTGAGAAACACTTGACTTGTAACAAACTAAACCTGCCCAACCTTCCTCTGTTAAAACAAAATGTATTTTTTAGTCGAGAATATATGTTCCTGTTGACTAATGAAGGGATTGAACAATCATAAAAATCAGGTAAAAGTAATTACATTTTAACAATAAGATTAGAAAAAAAACCTATCAAACTACAGATCAAGCAACATAAAACACCTATGTAAAGTCCTCAACAACGGTCAACATGGCATAGATAGACGACAGGTAATATCGTCATCACAGTCTATCTCTCTATGTTTTTCTACACACCTCTTTAACTCACACAAGCAAACACACAAACTCACGCACATTCATAGACATGGTGGTATACACACACGCTTACACAGTGGCGTGGCTAGGTCGTGTGTCACCCGGTGCGGCACCTCATGGTGTCACCCCCCCAGTAAAAATATAGTATATATATATATATATATATATATATATATATATATATATATATATATATATATATATATATATATATATATATATATATATATATATATATATATATAAGATCTACATAGGCCTATATATTTATATATATAGTTGCAATTGGTGTCACCCCTCCCAGTTTTCCTAATGGCGTCAATTTGTGCGCACATTAATTCATGTGGAAGAGGCATCGTTTTCATCCCAAATTATTAGATTTCGGTGTCACCCCTTCCCGGTCGTTGGTTGGCTTATCAGTTATACAAAATACTCAACAAAACAATTTCTCCTCTGTAAAGTTTGTAGTTGGTCTTACACTCTCCCGTCTCTCTCTCTCTCCCCCCCCCCCCTCGTCTCCCCACCCTCGGGTTATAGTTTTAAAGTATGCACAGTTAATAGTAAAGATATTTGTCTATAGTCAGTTATTACTATAGGTGAGTGGAGTCGCTAGGTCGTGTGTCACCCGGTACGGTACTACGTGGTGTCATCCCCCCCCCCCCCCACAAACAATATATATATATATATGTGTGTGTGTGTGTGTGTCGGGCTACATAGGCATAAAAGTATAATTTAAATATATGCCGCATAATTAATCATTATTACAACTGGCGATGCAATTTTTTGCCATGGTGTCACCCCACCCATAAATGTTGTCACCCGGTGCGTTTCTCACCCCCGCCCCATCCTCGCTACGCCTCTGATAAAGATGGATTAACTCTATTCATTAATTGAACTGGCAGCAACTTTCGCCATTGTGTCACCCCCCCCCCCCCCAATGGTGTAAACAGGTGTGGTGTACACCCCCCACTCACCGCCCCGCGACGCCTATGTACACATAAAAAGCACTTTACTCACACAAACGCATATAGCACGGGTACATAGCTTACGTTCAAACACAGGTACAAGTCTTACTTTAAACACGGGTACATGGCTTACTTTCAAACACGGGTACATAGCTTACTTCAAACAAAACAAAAGGGATTGGTATCTTAGGCAGTGATACTCAGGCCTATTTATCAGAACTGGCAATAATAAAGCAGGCATTGTTACACACATCGGGAATCTAGGCTTTCATGCGAAAGGAAGGAATAATATTAGGCGTAGGCAGTACAAACTTTCAATTTTTGTTTTGCAACCCCCCCCCCCCTCAAACTTTCATTTTGCACCCCCACCCCTTCAAACTTTCTATTTGCACCCCCCCCCCCCCCCCCTCCTCAAACTTTCGATTTGCGACTCTTAAAACACTATTTAATACTCGAATTAATCACTTAATTAAGTGGAATTATCATTTTTCTCCATATATTTTGCAATTTTTTGCCTTGGTGTCACCCCCCTAAATGGTGTCACCCGGTGCGGTCCGCACCCCCCCCCTCCCCCCCCCCGCCCCCCCCCCCCCCCCCCCCCCCGCCCTCGCTACGCCTCTGGGCGTAGGTTCGTGTTTTATTGTTGGTCTTTGTACAGAGGCGAGTCTCACAAGACTCATAGCAGTAACTGTCACAAGACAGCACTAACTGTCATAAAACATCACTAACTTCACAAGACAGCACTAGCTGTCATAAAACATCACTAGCTTCACAAGACAGCACTAGCTGTCATAAAACATCACTAACTTCACAAGAAAGCACTAGCTGTCATAAAACATCACTAACTTCACAAGACAGCACTAGCTGTCATAAAACATCACTAACTTCACAAGACAGCACTAGCTGTCATAAAACATCACTAACTTCACAAGACAGCACTAGCTGTCATAAAACATCACTAACTTCACAAGAAAGCACTAGCTGTCATAAAACATCACTAACTTCACAAGACAGCACTAGCTGTCATAAAACATCACTAACTTCACAAGACAGCACTAGCTGTCATAAAACATCACTAACTTCACAAGACAGCACTAGCTGTCATAAAACATTACTAACTTCACAAGACAGCACTTACTGTCACAAGACAACACTGTCACAAAACAGCACTAACTGTCAGACAGCACTATCACTAAACTAAACGTACTGTAACAAGACAGCACTAACTGTCACAAGACAGAACTAACTGTCACAAGACAGCACTAACTGTCACAAGACTGGACTTACTGTAACAAGACAGCTCTGTCTCCAGACAGCGTTGACTGTCAGAAAACAGTACTAAATGTAAAAATACAGAAGTCATAAGACATCGCAGTCACAAGACAGCTCCTACCAAAACAAGACAGCTATAACTGTCACAAGACAGCTATCACAACAAGACAGTTATCAATTCGTTGATGATGTTCATTTCAGACACAGTGACAACACACACACACGCACACTGAAAACATGCAAACACACATACACACACGTTTCTTATTTCCGGGACAATCAAAGTCTATACACTCGTCACATGAATGTCACCCTGTCGTATTCAATGTCCTTTCAGTTTAGAAATGTACCATACTGCATAGGCCTATCAGTTTAGAAATATATCATACTGTATTGGCCTATCAGTTTAGAAATGTACCTTACTGTATAGGCCTATCAGTTTAGATATGTATCATACTGTATAGGCCTATCAGTTTAGAAATGTATCATACCGTATAGGCCTATCAGTTTAGAAATGTATCATACTGTAAGGCCTATCAGTTTAGAAATGTATCATACTGTATAGGCCTATTAGTTTAGAAATGTATTATACTGTATAGGCCTATCCGTTTAGAAATGTATCATACTGTATAGGCCTATCCGTTTAGACATGTATCATACTGTATAAGCCTATCCGGTTAGAAATGTATTATACTGTATAGGCCTATATGTTTAGAAATGTATCATGCTGCATGGCCTATCAGTTTAAAATATATCATACTGTATAGGCCTATCGGTTTAGAAATGTATCATACTGTATAGGCCTATTAGTTTAAAATGTATTATGCTGTTAAGGCCTACACGCTACCTTTTAAGTTCCACCAACAACGATCCCTAATGTAGGGCATAGGTCAACAAAATCGAAAGTTGAAGCTTTTATTACCGTGCTCCACTTAGAAAGAGGTGTGATATGGCTAACAAAGCAACTACCAAAATTCCTCATGAAAATAAATATTTAACAGACGCGCACCTGTAGTTAAATATTAAATTAAGAAAGAAACAGAAGATTATTTTTTTTCATCCTCTTCAACTTTCCTCTACCAAGACCTACATAAAATTAATACTATAAAGACTAAAAATGTATAGAAAAAAAACATGAAGTATGTACTAGTAACAAGTTTTAGAGAGATTTAATGACGTCTTATATTAAACAAAGGAACGGAACAGGCTGTGTTCAGAGTTTCTTCCAGGCATCTCTTCGGGGGGGCGAAGCCCCCCCGAAAAATTTTTACCGCCCCCCCGAACGAAATGAAATTTATATCATTTATATAGAAAATATATACTTTTAACAGTGTCCGCCCCCCCGAAGAAAGTTTACCGCCCCCCCGAAAATTTCAAGTGCCCCCCCCGGAGAAAAAAGTCTGGAAGAAACACTGGCTGTGTTGTTTTAAATTCTGATCGCCAAAACTATATAAGCAGCAGATAGCTTTAAGTACTAGAACTCTCCACTAGACGTAAAACCCGCAAGGGTAAAGGTCAGGGAGAGGGGAAGGTTCACACGTCAAATTTGAAATCTTAACCTAACACTAAAGCGTGAATCAGTGCATTAAAAATTCTATAAATAACTCATGGATCACGTGACACAAGCATTGGGTATCTGTGATGACACGTTTATTGTTGAAACTCTTCTGTGTTGAAGAACATTTATTGTCTTGGTTTAAAACTATCTTTAATATAATTTTTTAATTGAATGTCACCATTGTGGTAGGGAGTGGTGAGACGTTTTAATATGTGGTGACAGGACGGACTGAGTGGTGACACATGGATTGTGACACGGTTGGAGGAAAGATGTCACCATTCAGAATGTGGTGATACAATTAGACAGTGGTGATACATTGACTGTGACATGTTGGAGAGGGGGGAGTGGCACTATTGAAAAAATGGTGATACAATTAGACAGTGGTGATACATTGACTGTGACATGTTGGGCGGGGGATGGCGCCATTGAAAAAGTGGTGACACATTACAGCGCTATGTAGCTATCTAATCTAAAACACAGTAGCTCTTGAAATGAGACCTACTATTGTTCTATTGGTGACTTGCTACTTTTCTTCTAGTGATTTACAACTGCTTTACTATTGACTTACTACTTCGCTACTGCTGATATCACGAGGGTAAAAAAACAGCTTGAAAGTTTTTAATGATGCATAAAAATGATGTGATAGATCTACATGCAATTAAAGTTTGTTATAAGACACTAGGTCTAAGGATCTTAAATGACATGATTGATGAGAGAGTGAACTGATACGTACGGTCTCTCACTGTTCAGATTTTTATAATTCTCTCCACTCTCCAGAGATATGTGTTCAGGTCGTATTGTCAGATACCCATGGACACTTTAACATAGAGATTGCACCGATTGTTATCGCCCTTGAGAGCAGATCTCAGTAAAACCGTTGCATTCGGTTAGGTTGAGAGGTATAAAAATGGTAAAAATTGATATGCCATTAACGTCAAGAGAAAGCCACATAATGAGGAACATAACTGTGTTATCTGGGCAGAGATAAGTGTCGACAGTGTGGTTAAATAGGCCAGATAGAATCGTGTCAAGTTATGAGGAATAGAAAAGATTTTTAACTGTTATATTTAGTCGATTCCAGTTTCTTTATAATTGTTTCAAGAGATCAGTTAGTCTAGTTAAGAAGTCCCTTAATGTGGTTCATACATATGCTAGCTAATAGGACGCTTAAAGTTTGTTCAACTCATACATATGCTAGCTAATAGGACGCTTAAAGTTTGTTCAACTCATACATATGCTAGCTAATAGGACGCTTAAAGTTTGTTCAACTCATACATATGTTAGCTAACAGGACGCTAAAAAGTGGTTCAACTCCTACATATGCTAGCTAATAGGACACTTAAAGTTTGTTCAACTCCTACATATACTAGCTAACAAGACGCTAAAAGGTGGTTCAACTCATACATATGCTAGCTAACAGGGTGCTAAAAGGTGGTTCAACTCATGCTAGCTAACAGGGTGCTAAAAGGTGGTTCAACTCATGCTAGCTAACATGACGCTAAAAGGTGGTTCAACTCCTACATATGCTAGCTAACAGGACGCTATATGGTGGTTTAACTCCTACATATGCTAGCTAACAGGACGCTAAAGAGTGGTTCAACTCCTACATATGCTAGCTAACAGGACGCTAAAAGGTGGTTCAACTCATACATATGCTAGCTAACAGGACGCTAAAAGGTGGTTCAACTCCTACATGTGCTAGCTAACACAATTAAGGCGTGGGTCTATCTCAACTTAACGACTGCCCATAAAATAAATCACCAGTAGTTTTTATTTTCATTTTTAAATATTTAAGTCCTCTTGCGGTTAGTAATTGTGTGCGAGGGTGGAGGGTGTGTATGTGTGTGTGTGGGGGGGTCCAGTTTATTAATGTTGTGGAGGAGTGGGGGAAGGTGGTTGCAGTTTAATGTTGCCCAAACTGGCAGCTGTCAAATAAAGTCTTTTAATGATTGTTGCAGCGAGTCACATGTTATTGCAGTCGATTTTTTTTAATTCAGGACACACGTCAATGGCATGTGTGTCAGTCTTTGTCGGGTGTGGTTTAAAATGCTAAATAGGAATTTGGTTTAAATTGCAAATTTGGTCTCACTGGAGTTGTAAACTGCGAAGGGCCAGGTAATGTTACAGTGGAGCAGTGATTGGTAACGTAACAGTTGATCAGTCAATAGCTAGTCAGGTAACGTTATAGTGGAGCAGTCAGCTGTGACTGGCCAAGTGTGTGTGTGGGGGGGGGGGGGGTCATGTTATTACATTAAAAGATATATATCTATATATGTTCCGTAATGAACAAAATATTCTAGCTCCAGTATCGATCCTTCTGCAGCCTGACAGAGTGTGAGAAATCAAACACGACTCCGTATTGAGATGGATTATGGTTTATTTACGTGTACTAATATGAATCGCCTATTGTACTTGACTACACACTACTTCTAGTGTTCTCAACTATCTCCTAACAATACTCGATCTCTACTCTAACTACAACTGCTTACTACACGCTCCAATGGTCAACTGCTAACGCTATATATCTCCCATCTGACACTTCAATGGTCAGCTGACCGTCTCACGTGACCGGTCAGTTCGTTCCAGTGCCAAATGCGCTAGCTATATAGTTTCTAGTAGAACAACTATGTCTTGATCCAGATATTTTGTCTTGATAAGCCTAACCCAGGGGTAAGCAACCTTTTGAGACGGATGAGCCAAAAGTTCCAATTTACAAAATTTCTCATTTTTTAAAGAGCCACTGAGAGCCACGGGGCTGGCCACAGTTGTGGAGTTGGGCCTTGTGCCCAAGCAGCTGTCAGCTGTCTGTATACGCTTTACAACACCGAGTTTTTTAAAAAATACTTTTATTTTTAATTTTAAAACAAATACAGTAACATCCCCCACCGTTTTGGTCGGTATTTACAAGGTAGTTACATTGATGTACAGTAAATGAATAGCTAATTTAGTGAGTAAGTATATAAAATACATTGGGTTTAAGGCATTTTGGTTCAACAAATGGACAGAGGCTGGTTTGGGACATTTTTGCCATTACATGTGGGTCAAGGTTTCATTACATTTTGTAAAATGCTTTTTTTTCCGCCTTAGACATGCTTTACTACACCGATTATTAGTGTTTTAATCCTGTTTCAAGTTTTTTTTTTTAAATAGTATGTATTTTGATGAGTTATGAAAACGAAATAATTTAATTATTATGGAACTGGCGAGCCGCATCCTGGCATCAAAAGAGCCACATGCTCTCACCTATAACCCTATCTATTTTGTATCCCTGAGACCAGTGTTTCTTCCAGACTTTTTTCTCGAGGGGGGGGGGGGGGGCACTTGAAATTATTATTTTTGGGCGGTAGACTTTCTTCGGGGGGGGGGGGGGCGGGGCGGACACTGTTAAAAGTATATATTTTCTATATAAATTTCATTTCGTTCGGGGGGGGCGGTAGAAATTTTTCGGAGGGGCTTTGCCCCCCCCCCCCCCCCAAGAGATGCCTGGAAGAAACTCTGCCTGAGACTGTCATGTTTCATGATTACTTACTGTTTTAAGATGTGTGTTTCTTAATTAAACTTAAATAAAGTAAAAACCTTGAAATTATTTTCTTTTATTTCTGTAGAGAAACACGATGTGGAACCACAAGCTCCGTGTGTGTGTGGCCCTGTTTTGGCTGACCTGCTTCACCGCTCACACGTCCGCAAATTTCAACACAGTCCTGGGGTCTGTGACAAAGTCCTGCAGCTACACAGTTGACCAGTGTGTTGTTCTGGCTAACGTCACGCGACCGACCACCGACGCCACGTGGTGCCAGCTTTTCGCCATCACCAAAGACGGTGTGACGTCATACCAGTGCCTGGTCCGGTTCGGGTTTTGCACGGACGAAGAAATGGTGGCTCTGAAGAATGCCGCCTGCAACCAGACGTCTGCTGTCCAGATCAAGTCCAGCGATCTGAAAAAACGTGTTACCGGTGCAATCAAATCAACCACAACATCCTGCCAACAAAAAATCGTTTCGTGTGTGATGTTATCGAGCGTGGCTACTGTACTGAAACAACAAGAGCAGTTCTGTAAACTGATGAACCTGGGCATCAGTGGTAAAGTTACGACAACTTGCCTGAAGCCAGATTGCACCATCACAGAAATCTCTAGCCTGACAGCAGCTGCCTGCAATAACGAGTCGTCTCAGTCCAAACCATTGTCTAAAGCTATAGTTGAATCAACACAGGCCTGTCAGGACGGAATTGAGGTTTGCACATATTCGTCATTAGCTGCCTTTGCTTTAATTAGAAGTGAGCAGTATTGTAATGTGATGAACCTTAAAGAAACACAAACAACCTACCAATGTTTGAAGGATCGTGGGTGCACAGACAGTGAGTTCAACAATATAAAAACGGCAGCCTGCAACAACTCCTTCACGGGAGGAGTCTCCAGAGCTTGCGACTACACGGTTAACCTGTGCCTTCAGTTGTCTGGGATCCAGTCCATCCCTAGCCTGGAGATGTTGTGCCAGGTCCTGGACATGTCTAAAGACGGCGTCACGGCGCACCAGTGCCTGGTCCAGCTGGGGTTCTGTACCCACGAGGAGTACGTCGCCCTCAAGAACCGGGCGTGCAGCCAGAACTCAGCGCCCCAGCAGCCGTCAACTGCACTAAAGCTGTCTGTGTATCGGACACTGGCAACGACAAGCGACACATGCCAACAACATGTACTGACCTGTGTCTTTCAATCGAGCATCGCTACGGTTTTTAAGCAGCAGGAACAATTTTGTAAGATGATGAACATGGACATCAACGGGCAGACGTCCGCTAAATGTTTGGCTCAAGGCTGTGGAAATACTGAAATATCCAGCCTCAACACCACTGCCTGCTCGACACCACAGTTTCGTCCTTTATCTGACGCCTTGTTTGCTCTCTCACAAAATTGTCATGCAGCTATAGAGACATGCACCTACTCCACCTACTATGCTTTTGCCCTAATTCGAAGTGAGCAGTATTGCAGCGTCATGCATTATCAAGATGTAACAAATACCTCCGCTTGTTTAACTCGCGCAGGCTGCACAGCTGTAGAGTTCCAAACCCTGGAAACGTATGCCTGCACTGGCTCAAGGTTTGCCAACACGTCTAAAGCTTGCATGTACACGATTGACAGCTGCATACAACTGTCCGGCGTCCAGTCCATCGACTCAGATCGAGAGTGGTGCGCGATGTTCGACATGTCCAAGGATGGAGTCACAGCCTACCAGTGTTTGGTCAAGTTCGGTCTGTGTACCGACGAGGAATTTGTAGCTCTTAAGGCTGGCGCGTGCAATCAAAAAATTCCCGCACAGCTGATGTCGAGTGCGCTGAAAAATTCAGTGTACACCTCCATCAACTCGGCCAATGACTCGTGCGTTCAGCGCGTGATCTGGTGCATCTTCGGCTCCAGTATAGCCACGATCTTGAAGCAGCAGGAGCAGTACTGCAAGCTGATGAACCTGGGCGTCCGCGCCTCCAGCACATTCGTCTGTCTGAGTCAAGGATGCTCCAGCACGGAGATGTCAGCCATCAACACTACAGCCTGCTCCACCACCCAGTCCCGGCCATTGTCTAACGCCATCGTGTCTACATCACAGGCTTGCCAGTTAGGAATTGAGAACTGCGCCTATTCCACATACATGGCGTTTGCTCTTATCAGAAGCGAACAGTACTGCAATGTAATGCATTTTAAAGATAAAATAACAACTCAACAATGCTTGACTGAGCAAGGATGTACAGAAAATGAATTCAAACAGTTAGAATCGGCGGCCTGCATTGGGTCGTACATTTCTAAAGCGTGCATGTACACGGTGGAGGCCTGCCTAGACCTGGTGGGACTGGAGAGCGTGAGTAGTGACGCGGAATGGTGCAGTCTTCTGGCCATGATTAAAGACGGCGTCTCGGCCTACCAATGTCTGGTCAGGTTCGGCCTCTGTACGGGCGAGGAGTTCATCCAACTGAGGAACGAGAAATGTCGCCAGAACTACGCACCTCTCATCGTGTCTACAGAACTGAAGAAATCCGTCTACAAGACAGTCACATCGACGTCTGAAAACTGCCAACGACAGATTATTACGTGTGTTTTTAGATCCAGTGTGGCGACAGTTTTAAAACAACAGGAACAGTACTGTAAGCTGTTGAACCTCGGCGCAGGCGGCAGCACAACTTCTGAATGTCTGAGCAACATGTGCTCCAAGCCAGAGATCGACCAACTCAACAGGTCAGCATGCGCCTCGCCGCAGTCCATGCCTTTCTCTAACACAATATTCAGCACCTCAAAGAAGTGCCAAGACGCGATGGAGTTCTGTACGTACTCGACATACTTTGCATTTGCTTTAATCCGCAGTGAGAAATATTGTGAAGTCATCAACTACAAAGACCAGGTTCCCGCATACGTTTGCTTGATAGAACATGGCTGCACCTTCGCGGATATGGCCAGCCTCAACTCCTCGGCATGCGCGGGCTCACAAGTAGCAGCCGTCTCTAAGCCCTGCAGCTACACCATCAGGGAGTGCATCACCCTGTCGGGCGTCCAACTGGAGAACACAAACATCGGCTGGTGCAAGCTACTCACCATGTCAAAGGATGACGTCACGGCCTACCAATGCCTGGTCAAGTTTGGGCTCTGCACGGACGAAGAGTTCACGGCCATGAAGAATGAAGCCTGCGGTCCGGAGGCTTCCGACCGGCTGACCTCAAGCCCCGTGAAGACGTCTGTGTACAACGCCATCAGCCAGAGCAATGACAGCTGCCAGCAACAGATCCTGACCTGCGTGTTCTACTCCCCCGTGGCCACGGTGCTCAAGCAACAAGAACAATACTGCAAGCTTTTGAACCTCGGACCTGGCGGGGCAACAACACGGACATGTCTACAGTACGCTTGCACGAGCGACGAGATCGATCGGATAAAAAACGCGTCATGCATCAGTGAACAGCCGGCTACGTTCTCCGATGCCATCGTCTCCAGCACCATGACCTGCCAGGTGGCCATGGAACAATGCACCTACTCCACCTACTACCCTTTTGCTTTGATCCGCAGTGAGAAGTACTGTGACGTCATGAACTTTAAAGACCAGGTCACGGCCCAAGTCTGCCTAACATCCGGTGGATGTACGGACGCGGAATACAAAACTTTGAAAACTGCCGCCTGCTGTGGCACTCGAGTATTTGCCACACTTCTCCTTTTAACTCTAACATTGGCACAGGTGTTTGTTTAAACCGGTTTTAAATTAATTTTGCAATATTTTTTTTATATTTTAACAGTGTGTATGTAATATAAACGTTATCTTAACAATATAATATACTTTAACATAGTGTTTTCAGATGGCTGGTTTATATGTCCAGAAAAAAGGCTAAAGACCAAAAGCAAAAGAAAAAGGTCCAGGAAAAGAGTTTAACAAATATTAAGTTTTGTAATTTTATTACCTACTAACAAAAAAATTTCAAAATTAAAAACATATTTACTTTTAACTGTTTGAATTGTAATTTTTTTTCAAATTGTAGTCACATAATATATTATGTAGGCCGATAAAAAAGGGGCTTTATATATATATATATATATATATATATATATATATATATATATATATATATATATATATATATATAACTAAATTTTAATTTCAAGCAAGAAAACTATTTCTAAAACTAAAACTTGCAAACATTTTTGGTAGTTCGCCATTAGTCGGCTATAGGTAATACTGTAGTAAACATAAATTTCAGACTCTCATTGTCCTTTATTTCTAGATCATGCAAGACATTTTTAGTAAAAAAAATAATTATTATTAACAGTTTGTACATTTTAAAATGTAAGCAGTTTCATTACAGAAATTAGTTACAGTTTAGAACGAGTATGAATCGTAAGTTTAACTTCTTTAATTAACTCCACGATTAATTTTTTTAAAAAAATGAAATAGGACCAAATAAGATTTTAAAATATCCGTCAATCAGATGATTTTGGATGTGAATGTAAAATAAGTATCTGTAAAAGACTGTAATGATTTATAAAGGGACTGAACTGAGTTTCTTTCGGGCATCTCTCTACAGCAGGGGTTCCCAACCTTTTTTTACTCTAGAGCACATTCTAAAATATCGGTAGGGTGGCGGGCACCACCTATTTTAAATCGAGAAACTCCTTCCAGAGGCGTAGCGACCCTTCCCGTCACCCGGGGACAAATCTTTTGATTTACACCCCCTCCCCCCTCAAACTTTCGATTTGCACCCCCCTCAAATTTTCGATTTGCACCCACCCCCCCCCCCCCTCAAATTTTCGATTTGCACCCCACCCCCCTCAAATGTTCCATTTCCATCCCCTTCAACCTTTCAATAATGTTTATGAAAACAATTCTGTCTCTGTCGAATAGTGAGAGGCGGGCACATACGAATCGTTCGGCGGGCGACATGGCGCCCGCGGGCACGGGGTTGGGAACCCCTGCTCTACAGCATTCCCTCCCCTCACCACTCCCTCCTCCGAGGATATAATTAATATAGAAACTATATAGCCTACTTTAACATTACCCACCTTCCCCACACGGTTATTTTAGGGACTCCCCCCCCCCCCCATCTCAAGAAGTTTTAAGTGCACCCTTCCCCCCCCCTACCCCTAATAAAACTCAATGCAACCCCGGGCTGAATTAATGTTAAGTACGTTTCAAGTCGGATGAATTTAGTTTCACCTTTATTTTTACAAGACAAAATTAAAATATAATTTAAACAATTTTATGAATAATTTTAAAATATGGGCTAAAACATGCCTCCTTATTTTATATAAATATTTTTTTTAAAGCGTTGCCAACAGGTATACAATACGTACAACAATATATATTATAGTAAAAACGCTAATTCAAAACTCAAATAAGCAAAATTAAAACAGTAAGAGGAAATAGGCATAAATTACAATAATAGTAAAATAAAAAACAGGTTGCTTTAAGACTTATTGGCTATATAAGTAATAATGTTAAAACTGATTTTTTTTTTTTTAAAACATGAAAAAAAACAGTAATTTAAAATCAGATTTGATCACTATCTATAACACGGCTGAAATTACGTAATTTGTTGACAAAACAATCCTTTAGCTGCAAGGTTTTCAACAATAGAGATTAACACTGTAATAGCTCTAAAGATCATTGGGGCCTTCCATAAATGAATTCTCGCTCTTTGACGATTATTCTGCCACCCCCCCCCCCCACCCCCTTTCCCCACAAAAGTCAGTGAAAAAAGTTGTGTTCCACTAGACCAGGAATCTCTAAACTTTTCACTCCGAGGGCCGCATTAACTATCAAATTTCAGTTCGGGGGCCAGTTACTTCCGGGCATGTCTTTGATTTTTTCTGCACAAAGTTCTTCAGCCATCACCAAAAAACGATTTTTCCTTGGACAAAAAAATCTCCGCGGGCCGGATGAGAGGACTTCACGGGCCGCATCCGGCCCGCGGGCCGTAGTTTGGAGACCCCTGCACTAGACTAAAGCAGAGATCTACCCAATACGAGTTTTGTTTTTTAAATAAGGGGAAACAACCTTGTCATGATGATTTTGCCAAGAAATACCACTTGAGTTATTTCACTTAGCCGAAAAAAAAAACATGAAGTAAAAATAACTTAGTAAAATGTTTCTAAATCTATGTTAATATTAGATCTTTTTTATCAAAAGTTATTACAACTCACCACACAACAAAAGTTTGTAAATGTAAAATAACTGCTAAAATTCAGTTGAAACTACCTTTTTTCTAATGTTGATTTTAACCCCACCCCCCTTCTCCACTCGACTAACAAAGTCAAAAAGGTTTTATCGTTTCAAGCCGTAGCAGTTATTTTAACAGTTTAATTATTAATAGTTTTATTTTATAAATAGATAATTCAAATTAATACTCGATGTGATATCATTAGAACCAATTTCGTTTCATGAATGACATTTTAATGCTTACAAAAACTCCAGCAATCAACACCCAGCCATCAGTAAACTATGCTGAAGAGAAAAGTTGGACGTGGTTTAACTCCCTACATGTGGGCATGTCACTTATAGGTCTACTTCAGTCAAATGTAAACTATTCGTTCTGTACTACTTTACTCTCTCTTCTCTCTTAATCCTCATCACTCCCTGTGGAGTATAGGGCAACAACAAATCTCCGCCATTCCACTCTGTCTTGGGCGAGCCGCTTTAGTTCATGCCAGGTCTTGCCGGGTACTACTTTACACAAGTGTGGAATTTTATTTTCTCAATGTTAAAACCGTTCAAACTGTGTAAACATACATTCACTGCAGACGTCATGACATGGCTCCCAGCATTCCCTCTCACAGGGGTGACCACAGTCGCAGGTATTCATGCAGGGATGGTTGCACCTGTAGACATTGTGGCTCACCCCGTGACAACTGCGGCGACACACGTGACCACAATTCAACCTCTTCAAACATTTCCCGCCACATCCGCCATTCTCAACACTTCTAAAACCACTCACGTCTTTTATAACAGTAATACGCTGGTGTCTTTGACATCTGAGTCTCAGCTCTTGACCCATATCCCCTCGACTTTCTGCCGTCTGTTTTATGGATCTCCACAACTTGCTTTTCGAGGCCAAAAGATCAAAGTTTCCAATAACGTACAGGCCGTACTGCGCCCTGGATAGAGCCACACATACCCTGTTGTCTGTGCTCAGAAAGCCCACTTCACCTTGAGAGTTGCTCCTGACTAGCGACAACAGAACTATTGTATTTTGCTCACCCTGGAAGTTGTCTACTGTTGAAACATGAATACATTTCAATTCGTCATCGTCTGTGTGGTCAATGTTCTCCTTGATGAGGGCCACCTGACCACCATACGTAGCTAAGATGGTAATGTCGTCAGGAGAGTAGCCTTGGTCGAGCATATAACAGGCTAGCTCAACCAAGTAATCAGCTTCGTATTCATTCACTCTACTTTTGCTCTGCTCAACTGGACGCTCGTGTTGTTTGTGGTTAATAAAGAAAATGTTTTTTTCCATTCCTCTAATGTCTGATCTATCCATAACAGATGCGCTATCTCTGAGGTTGGGATAAATGTGTTTCATATACACGGAAATTTCCGGTCTCATGCGATGCTGGTCCGTGAGTTGTACGCAGCAGAAGTCATTGTTCACGAGACGTTCAAACAAGGAAATGTCAAGCCCGTAGTGGTGTGCCAGTTGATAGACTTCCGTTTTCGGCCTCAGCTGCTTGTGGTCGCCAATGAGGATCAGATGCTGGCAGTGTTCGCTTAAAGCCGTGACGATGTGGGCCTCAAGAACTTCTGCTGCCTCCTCCACCACCACAATTCTGGGTTTAACGGCCTGTAAAAGTTTTCTGTGCTTGGCTGCACCCGTGGTCGTCATTCCAATCACTTGTGCATTTTCTAAAATTTTAACATCCTGTATTAAATTCACTTCATTTTTCCTATCAAGAGCATTTTCATAAGCGTCTATCAAATCTTTCATCTCACTATTCAAAGATTCTAAAAGTCTATTTATCCAAAGTTTATATAAACTGTACCGCGCATGCATGTCCAGGCTCCAAATACCACGTACTCTCCGTTCTTCGTCTTCTGTCATTGGCTTTGCAGCTTTTAGTTTTTTTACTACTTGCCCGAACGATAAAGCCTTTGAATCAACATCCCAACTGCGTGTTTCGTTTGTTTGGGTTACGTCATAGGTTATGTCCACTCCCATCAACTTAGCTCTCTGTAAACTCGTCAACTTTCCCTCAATCTGCTTCTGCCTTGAACTTTCTTCGTCAACTTCATTGCCAAAAACTCTCTGATCTCTTATTTGAGAATATTCCTCTTCGTCGTCAAAATGAACTGTGCCTCCCTTCAAATGTGTTGTCTGAATTTCATCGATATTGTCGAGCATTTCCTCTATGTTTTTACCCAACAGCCAATCTCGAATACTGAGACCCATCCTGGTTATTTTGTTCAACACAGGTTGGGAAATGACACGCTGAACGATCTCCTCTATTGAGTCAGTCATCCTTGGTTGGCCATACTTGTTTTTATACTTCATATGCCAGAAACGGAAAACTTTTCTTTTAACTGAGGCAGGGATCGAAAACCGAAAATCTAAATCTGATTCAGGGAGTGATTCTGTTTCAGCCATATACAGTTGGACAAGATGATATTCTACAGCTTTGATCAGCTGCTGCTCCAACTGTACTTTAGAAGCGTTCAGCCAAGCATGGATTCCTGCACCTAACTGCCCTTGGTGGGTAGAGCTCATAAAACGACCAAGCAATCTTTCATCTTGTATAACTAACTGAATATTTTGCATTTCAATAACCAAATCCTCGATTTTTCTGCCCAGTTTATCCATTTCCCGATAACAATCTTTTAAACTGTTTCTGGCGCTGAGCGAAATGTTCTGCTTTCCCCTGAGTCCACTGAGGTTAAACTTCTGCAAGGCTTCACAGTTCATTCTCCCGCCTACCCTGACAATACCGTCTGGACAAAACTCTAACATCTCCTCCAGGAACTGGTCAAGGGCGTGGTTCGTGTAGCAAACGACAAGAATCGGTCCAAATGGGTCTGATTGTACTTGGCCACTGGACAGGTTTTCCAATAGGATTCTCATAATTTTAAGTCCAACAAACGTTTTACCTGTTCCAGGGGGGCCCTGGAGCAAAGCAAGTTCTTTGGTTACGGCGTTTAGGATTGCGTCCCTTTGTTGACTGTTTACACATAATGCATTCCCCTTTGGCCACCGATGTGTCTCGAGTACAGGAAAGCTGTTGTCTCGTCTCCTGTAATTACGCTGACATCCACCATCTTTCAGCATACACGATAGGTCATAGCGCGTTGATGTCCTTAAATATGGCGGTGGATCAATATCGTCTTCTTTGCCGTATACTATGTAATCCTCAAAGGGAAGATTTTTGCCTACCATCTCCTGTAAACCCTCTAACACGTGACGATAAGCTTCGAAAAACGAAGGGTTTTCTGTCATTGTCAAACTATCTTCCACTGAAAATCTGTAAACGTCTCCAAGACAGTTCTGGAACTTGACCCTCAGCACGCCTCGTTTTAACTCCTCTCTATCCATCTGCGAGACGGTCGCGTAGATGATTGACCGGAAGTTGTCTTTAGATAAACAAACCAGGCTGCCGTAGATGAGACGTTTTTCGGTATTCCACCTCACAGTTTTTAGTTTTTCCAAGTCTAGAAGAAGGATATGCTCAATGCCGTTAAAAACATTTACTCCCACTATATGGGTGTTCTCATAGTACAACATTTCAGAACCTGAAGCACCATGTTGCCTGTACTCACTGATACCTTCGCGAAGTGGCTGAATGAAGTCCTCTCTCAACAACCGAAACATCACATCTAAATAATGTTCTTTATTTCTGTAGGATCCGGAAACTTTATTAGCTCTTAGAAATGGCTTAAAGTTTTCTTCCATGTCTTCCGTGGTTGGAAAAATTGACAAGTCCCTAATATCGTCAGGTGCATCATCAGCGTCTCTCCAATTCTTAACCATCATTCTCTCCCCTTCGTCTATGGCATCATCAACTGAATAAAAGATTTTTTGAGTGTCTTCTAAAAGTTCTTGATCATATTCAAAACATTCATTACCGTCAAAAAGATCCAAAACTTCGCGACAGTTTTCGATATCTGCTGGCACCATTCGAGCTGTTTCTTGAATGTAAATTAGAAGCGTATTTATGATATCCGGTGAAGTGTCAAAGCCTTGAGATTGTAGGTAATTAATGATAAGAAAATTATAAAAATTTGATGTGGCCAAGATATGAAGTAGTTTTAAAAATTTGTGTTCATGTGACTTTACCTGTAGCACGGTATCTAGGCTGGCCATAAATAAATCAATACAATCTGTGCTCACGTTATCATCATTCAAAAAATCCTCCAACTCCTTACAACTTGACACCATCCAGAGAAGAAGGGTTGCTGGGTCATCTTGCATGTTGGCCCACTGTTTAAGCCGACCGTAACCAAGGTAACTCCTGCCTCTCCCACCCGAGTGTCCCCGTTGGCGTCTCCCTCTTCCTTTGGTATATCTTCTACTCATTATCGTTTCTGTTCGGAAAATTAAATTTAAAAAATCATCAATATTGTTAACAATTTTTCAATATTTTTAAAGCCTTTTTGAAAAACGGTTTAAAAGACATTTTCAAATTTAATCTTTATTCATTTATCTACTTAGGGTTAAATATTATGTAGGAAGAAACCTTTATAACTCCGTGTGATTTGTATTTCCAAATCACCAGATCACGACCGTGTTTTTGTTGGCTTGTATTTAGTTCATATTGTCTGTCTCTCTGTCTCTTTGTCTATCTGTATTTTTATTTTATTTTTGCTTGACTGTTTATTTGCTTGATTTGTATTGTTTTTCTATTTGTTTGATTGATTGATTGGTTGATTCTTTTTGTAATGTTGTAACTCAATTTCGAACCATTTTTAATACAGCGATTTCGTTCGAACTTTTAAGATACCTTCTTCTTCGATGACAATGAAAGAATGTCCAATTTTCGATGTAACTAACTGCTCAATTTGTCATTTAAATTTATTTAAAGATGTTTATAGTCAGTAACAAAAGAAAGATAACTAGTTAGACACGATCCTCCGATCAGTCAGCTGCGCTGTAGTTCATGCCGAATGTTTATGTTTTGCGTTCTTGTTTGCCTTTAGGTTTGCGTTTGTGTTTCAATTTGTGATTGCGTTTGTTTTGGCGTTTGAGCTTGTGTTTGTTTTTATGTTTGTATTTGCGCTGATGTTTGTGTTTATGTTGCATTTGTGTTTGCGTTAGTGTTTGCGGTTTTTTTGTCATGGTCATTTACAGTTAGGATTTTCACAGAGGGATACAAAGGGATACTTCTCAGAAATTTACTCGAATAACCTTTACATTAATAAGCTTTTAAATGAAAATGAAAAATTGTAAAATATATTTTCTACATAATTTTTTTTTCTGTTTCATCGGTAGAGGAGTGGGGTTGGTCTTACACCGGGACACTGCCTCCTCTTTCCCTACCATCATGCACAAAAAGATGCCTAAAAGAAACAGTGCAATCAGCTCTTGTTTTTTTTTTATGTCAAAGCCCATGCTATTGTTGAAGGCTTGATGTCGGATAACATAAGCTTAAAATGAATGTATAACTAATAATTTCAATTATGCTATCAATGTGATCATTAGGATACTGAACAGAGCGGATATGAAACAAAAGATATCGTACATTATGCTCTTGCAGAAATCGATCTAGAATCAGTGGCGTAGCGAGAATTTTTGGGCCCATATGCAAAAATTAACACTGGGCCCCAGCAGTGTTTCTTCCAGACTTTTTTCTCCGGGGGGGGGGCACTTGAAATCTTCGGGGGGGGGGCTCGCTTCTCCCTTCCCCGAAATGATGCCTTGGAGAAACTCTATTCGTCAGCCGTTAGGCTACAACAGAGTGAAACGAAGAAATCAACTGCTTCTTCCGATGTAGGGTTTTAAATAATATAAATGTTCTGTACATTTTATACATCCTAGTTGTTTATTAATGCTATATTATTATGTAGGTTTACAACCCCGTAGTTTTGTAAGAAATGTACATGCTTACAGTTAATTTGTTTTTGTTTTTCAACGACCCAAACACAGTAGGGTCACAACACGGGGGTAGACGGCTAACAACATTTAGGCGTGAAATCATGACGAAACATTGTAAAATTTACTTTAAAAATTATGTTGTATCCAGCTAAAATAATAAAAAATAAGTCATCATATACAGTGTTTATCTGTAGCAAGCATATCCATCAGCGTTGCTGCGATCTAGTCCCACATACCAGTGTAATGAAACAATTTGTAGGGGTTTCAGCAACGCGTTACCAATTGTGTATTTGTAGTCGTGTGACCTTGTTTTCTAAAACTGAGATAGTTAAAAGGTAAACAACGCCACTGTTATTGTTTTTCGGATCTTTGTTGCTGGGGCGCGGGTTCGTCCAAACTACCGGTCAGACGCCCTTTAGCTTGCTGTATGAAAGCATTGAGTGTACGTTGATCATTCTCCGTAATAGTGAAGTTGAACACCTTTCAGCGAACGCTTAAGGGTGTCGCTGGAGTGACGTGTTCCACTACCATGTGTAGCCGATTGCTACCCCTGTTCGGTTTAATCATCGAGCGTAAGGGTCATCCGTAAGCCGGGGTCGCCGAAGACCGCCCCTGTTGCTGTTTGATCGTTGAATTAAAAGGACCCCTACAGGATCCCTTGTACTCAGGTAGCCGCTGGCTATCTTGGGGCGCCCAACCTTTACTACTGCTGATGCGCCTCTTATTTGATTTAGTTATCGATTTTAGTAGCCCTCCGTACCCTTAGTGAATGGCGCTCATTAAATGAATATAGGCGCTGTAGAGCTCACGGGGGATCCCAGGGCGCATCAGGTAACGCGACCGACGGGTGATGCTAATTTGACCGCTGCGCCTAACATTCAAATTAACGGACCCCAGGTGCAAAAATAGCCGCTGGTAAATTAAGTGGCAAACAGCACCGCCTTACTGCCTGGGCGCCGCCATCAAAAAAGTAAAATTTAATGCTAGAAACCTTCCCCAGAGATTCTTTCAGGCACGTTTTCAGAAAAATGTCTGGCGAAAAACACTGCCTAGAGTATTCTCAACAACTTCCCAAATTTTCTCGGCGATTGGATGAAAACCAAAAACTTATAGGGTTTGTAGCTCCATATGGGCCCTGTTCGACCCCCCCCACCCCCGACCCCCACACACGCACACACACACACACACACTGAATGCAAATGCAAATGTACAGTAAGAAAGGACTGGGGGCCTTTTTGGAACTTTAAATTATTTCTACAGTAGAAAAGAAACTGAATTTCCTTTTTCTTTTTAAAAGTATTTACTTAAAAAATATTAAAATTCCAATATAAAAGTTTTAGCTTTTTTCAAGCGGGAAAAAGGCCCCTATTTGCTTTGGGCCCCTATGCCTTGCTTACGCTAGCTTTACGGTAGCTACGCCACTGTCTAGAATCGATGCTCTTTAAAATCTAACAATAACTTGATTTGGCAAGCTGACAAGTACGCAAGTGCCTAACTGACTCTAAAAATAACCAACACGTCATGTCTTTGTACTGTTTGGTTACGGCTAGCTCGTCACAGACACTGGTTTTAAACTAATCCAATCCTATATTAATCCAGAAGTAAAAAAAACCGATAAGACTGTTGTATTTCAAAGGCCTTATCCACATAACTGCATAATATACTTCATGAGTAAAGACAATATATGTTATTAAAAATCTGAATCAAAATAAAATTGTTAAGCAATATATACTATTCAGTTTTAAAATATAATCATTATTGGGGACGTAAACACAACGGCGTTGTCTGACAAAGGGCCGCAGTTCCTCCAAGACTTAATTAAGCTTGAAATATAAGTGTTAAAAGGTCGCATTTTCCTGTTAAAAAAATAGATTATATATGATTGATTTATACATAAACCACCAAACAATAGAGCTTTGACAGCTTTTTGTTGGTTCCGCAATGTGCACAGTTTCTTCCAGGCGTCACTTCCGGGGAGGGTAGGGAGGAAGGGCTCTGCACCCCCGAAGAAAGTCTACCGCTCTCCCGAACGAAATTTAATTTATATAGAAAACATACTTTTAGCGGTGTCCGGCCCCCCCCCCCCCCGGAAAATATCAAGTGCCCCCCCCCCCCCCCCCCGGAGAAAAAAGTCTGTGCATACTGAATGTGCGTACTGCCAGTCCATCCACTTTTTAAAAATTAAAAAAAAAATAGCCCAAACTTTTAGTTTTGAAACCAACATAGACTAAGAGATAAATTAAACTTACAGTTAGATAAAAAGCCAAACACAAAACAGAATTTTCTAGTTCATAGAATCCATCACACGGCTAATAGAACATATTTTAAGTTGAAATATCAGTTTAGACTAACTGAATGTCAGTCTAGATAATCTGAATGTCAACTGTGATTCTATAAACGTCATGTGTCTTGTTGCTATGCAGAATCGATTACGTACAAATAGCGTCATAGCTGATTCAGAGAATAAGTTTTAGTTTCAATTCTTTGGAGAAGTATGCCAAGATATTTCTGTTTTTGTTTCAGGTAGGGGAATTCCAAAGGTAATAATGAACATGTATATTTCCAATATTATGTATACCTCTTGAAGAAAACGAGCTAGGGGTCATCCATAAATGACTTCACGCTTTTTTTGAGGATTTTTACCCCCCTCTCCCTTCCGTCACACATCGTCTCAAAAAGTCAGACCCCCCCCCCTTAAATGACGTCACACATCAGCATACAAACCCCCCTAAAAATGCAGTTGAATTTATTTTTTTTTAAACATCGATATTTTTCCAAAATATTGTCTGAACTCTGTCAAATTAAGTATTTTAATCAATTCCTATTACAATTTATTAAAACAGTTTTCTGAAATTTCACATGTAAGTAAAAGATCTAATTCTCTACCTTCTGTTAAATTTTGAGTAATTTCCGTTGACCGGAAGTACTAATTTACGCTATTTCCGATTTCTCAAAAAACGCATGTAAATTTATAAAGTACTAATAATATCCCGCACTTTTATGCACATTTTATTAGGCGTTCACTTGGTGTGCAATTCTTTTTTTTTACGAGATTTTATTCTATTATAAAAAGTTTAAGTAATTAA